GTCTCTCTCTCTCTCTCTCTCTCTCTCTCTCTCTCTCTCTCTCTCTCTCTCTCCTTAAAATCTCACACACAGCAAGAGTCACTACCCGGATGACACCCACCGCCACCCAAAATGAGCAACGCCGACTGCTAGTGGGCAAAATCGCTCAGGTAGAGGCAAATACAGAAAATATGTACTCTGCCAAACAGTGAAATGAGACAACTCGATGAAACGTTATCCGTGATGTCATGGTCAGGCTCTTAGCCTTTGCACACAGCAGGCACAAGTTAGGTTCCCTAGCGGGGCAGTGTTTTATCAAGCTCTTCGTTTGTTATTTTTAAAATGTAAATTGTTTTACGTCTCCATCGGTACAATTTAGATTATTTAGGAAACGGGTTTCTCACACTGCCTGTCAGGGCCAACCTGTGTCCTTTCCTTGAATGCTAGTTTTCATTTAAACCTGAGTTCGTTGTGTCAGACTTTCACTTTATTACATGTACCACGTATTCGGTTTTCTTCACACTCAACAACAATCTTTTACGTTTTCAGGACACGGTGTAGTCACAAAATGAAGTTGTTCTTAATATACCGAGTAGCAAAAGTTCTGTCACACCCATTATATTACGTTAATTTTCGATATAGCGTAAGAATTTTAGTAAAAGTTAAAAGTATGACTTGTGTGACTTATGAGACTTCTTGTGCAAGAGCAGACCAAAGAAATGATAAACCGGAAGTAGTACGTGGACAAAGTGTTCATATTAATTTCTCTCCGTCTGTGTTGAAATCAACGCTTCTTACAGACAAAATTTGCTTTGAATCACATAGACAATGTGTAAACACACCTTACACACTATACAATTCCGTACTTCTTAACGGTTGGATACCTTTTTCTCCTGTTTTCAAAATTTAAAAAATGATAAATTCAGAAAATAAAGGGGCTGTGTGTATGATAAATTCTTTAATTGCGCTTTCTGCTGTTGCAAGACGCGTAAATGTTTGCAGAGGAACCATCTAACCTTTGAACAAACCACTAAAACTAAAACTGTCCAAGACAAGCCAAGACGTAGCCAACCAAGGGCGACAACTCGACATCAGAATTGGGTTATTGTCAACACCCATGTTCAAAACCCATTCCAACTTAGTGCAGATACTGCAAGGGACTTCGGACTGTCTTGAAACATCATTATTAGACATTTTTAAGATCGAGGATTACGTCATTATCGTCCTATATATGGAGCCATTCTAACCCCGTTTCATAGAAGAAATCGCCAAATTTTGGCATAACAACATTGTCCATGAAACTAAAGACGTTGGTGAAGTTTTCTTTTCAGCAATGGTTAAGGATTTTAAAGGAAGAGAAAAAGTGTTTAAAAGAAGAGAATAGAAATTTCACAAATCCAACGTCCCCCAAGAGGCCCAAAGGTGGCTGAAATGTGATGGTAGGGCTGCTTTTTATCGTATACATTTAGTTACTTTTCAAAGCAACCCCAAATAACGACATTATTGTGATGAAATTCTTTGTTACGGTGATTACGCTACAGACAACGCACGACCACAAATGGCTACGATCAATGAAAACTTCTTTCAAACACATCAAATCGTTGTTCTGGACTGGCCTGCAAGATCCACAAGCCATAACCAAACAGAGCATCTGTAAGATGACCTTGACTGGAGGATTAGAAACAGGCGCACTCAGTACAAACTCGTCAGGAACTGAAGGCTGCACTTCACAAGGAATGGCAGGGATACTTTAGACAACCACAATGACTTCAGTTCAGTAATTGAACAAATGTTTTGTATAAGTAATTCAAGCTAGAAGAGGCCACAAGCCCTACTGAGCAAACTTAGATTTGGATTTGGCAAGAGTCAATGTGAATAAAATTATCTCCCTTGAATAAGGAAAGACATGTGTAATTCTGTTTACGTCATGTTGGCAGAAAATGAATAAAGATCGCGTGTACCAAATTTGTCTTGGCTATGTTGAGTAGTAAATGAGTTATTGTACTTTTAAGGTGGGTGTGACAGAACTTTTGCAACTTGATCTTGGAGTGTGGTGATTCTTCCTTGAAGAGGGACTGGGGTTTGGAGGGAGGGGGAAACTAGTTCGATTGGAGACAAACATCTGTACAAAATATTTTTTAAGATTGGGAGTTAGCCAGCATAATACTATTGACACATGTATACCGTCTGCAAGTTGTGCAATATATTTTCTCTAAGCCAAGAATGCAAACGTTCTAATGAGAGAGAAAAGACTATTTCGATCTTTTAACAATTGAACCTACGAGGGGGGAGTCAAAAAGTATTGCAAGTTGTTCTCTATTTTGCACATTTTAAAAATCAAATTTAATCAAACTTAGCTAACAAGTACTTGCTCATGTACTTTTGAACACAATCTGTTAAAATTGAAGTTTCTTTAATTTTGGTCCGAATGACGTCACATCAAAATGGCTACCCTCTTGGAGGTCTGTCAAAGGTAAGGAGCAGATATTAAATTTCTGGTTTTAGAAGGAGAATACACCGATAACATCCAAAAGAGACTTCAAAATCATTACAAGGACCAAGTTCTAGATTTTGGCACTGTATATAGGTGGCTTAGACCTTTGAGCAATGAACCGGAAGAAGATTAAGAAGTGTTCATACGCTTGTCAGACAAGCATCGTCCCGAGGAGTCAGCCTGAAAAATCATGTCAGTCGTGTTTTGGGACGTTCGTAACGTGCTTCTAACAAGTTCTTTTTTACCACGAGGAGCAACTGTCAATTCTGAACCCTACATTGAAAGACTGAAACCACTAAAAGAGAGATTTCGACAAGTCAGACCAAATTAATTTGAACATACAATGAGTATTTTCCCCCCATGACAATGCCCGCCTGCATTCGAGTACCAGAACAAGGGAGACAATCACCCCGTTTATGTGGAAAACACTGCCACACAAAACTTATTCTCCTGATTTGGCTCCTTTTGACTTCCACCTTTTGGGTCCTAGAAAAGAACCATTGAGAGGTCAACATTATGGAAACGATGGAGAAATCAAGACTGCTCTACCCCTACGACCAACCAGCTCAGTTTTACAAAGCTGGCATATGTGGACGTTGTAAAAGGTGGACAGTGGCTATTGATCGAAACGGAGACTATGTTGAGAAATAAAAATATGATCCTCAGATGCTCCCCTTCAATTTGAGGTGTGAAAGTTGCAAGTGTATTATATTTTCTTCAAGTTATTAATGAACTTGCATTATTTTTTAACTCACCCTGGTACATTACGTATCTAGATATATCTTTTCTTGGTCTTTTCAACGTTTAGAACTTAATTCTTTTTAAAAATATTTCTCTAGCACATGCAGCCGATATCATCCATTTATGAAGAAAGTGAAGCTCTAAAAAGTAACACAGTTAATGTTCTTTTTAAAAATAATATGGTTACCACATCTGAACAGCTGGCTTATGATATTCGAGGGCACACTGATGACGTAGTATTGTTCTTCATTTTATTTCGAGCAAAAAACAGAACAAGGAGGTGTACATGTCCTTTTAATCGGTTCAAATCTTATCATTTGTATCTCAATAGAACAAAAAGACAAGAAAATGTACATGTCCAATTAATTGGCTTGAATATTATTGTTGCACTGTTTCCTGTCCGCACATCGGATCTGGTATGGTTCCGGCGGCATCGAGAGCCCAAACACGCCCTTGATTGGAGGCAAGTTGGACGGGTCGGCGGGCAGGAACTCAAAACGCTGGAATATTGTGGACAGGAACAGGAACAGCTCCGTCTTTGCCATGTCTGCTGCTGGGCACACTCTCCGGCCTGGGATAAAGGGAGGACGAGAAAGTTGAAAAGAAGAAAAAAGACCTGCTGCAACTAATACATGTACTTACAACGGCCGCACAACCAGCCAGCCAGCCAGCCAGACAGACAGACAGACAGACAGATAGATAGATGGATAGATAAATAGGTAGATGAGATTTGCTAAGCCATACTGGTTCTTTCAGCAACATTGACGTCCATCAACGTAAAGGTGAATCATTCGAGTTTTTCTGCATCAACAAGCCTACATCTATTATGAAGCAACAAATATTTGTAACCCCTGAACTATTGTGTAGAAGTACATACTCACTTGGTGTTTTTTTCTTCCAAAATCTGATTCACTGACATGTTTCTGCTGGACTATAGAGGGAGATGTAGAAGGTGTAATTACAGATTATGCTGTTGCTTTGTCATGATTAATCTGAAAGACAGTATGGCTTTGTTTAACTCTCTTGAATGAACATTATCATCTTTTTCTGTGCAAACGTAGATAGGAAAACTCTCAGCAATGAAGGGGTTCAAAACTTAAGTCTACACATTACCTAATGAAAACGGGATCATCTCTTCTCTCTTCACAATGTTTTCTTGGGAGTCCAAAAATCTCTCTGGCCGGAAGTTCTGAGGATCTCCCCAGACTTTTTCATCCATGAGGGCAGAGTACAGATTGGGCACTACGAAGGTGCCTTTGGGAATGACGTAACCTCTGAGTTCAGTGTCCTCTGTGACCATGTGGGTCAGGCTGTTTGGGGGAAAAGAAAAAGCAATGTGCGTGCTGATATATGGTGAAGGAACAAAAGGGCAACAGAAAAAAAATGTAAGAGAAAACAAACACTCCCTCCTCCTAAAAATTAAAAAAGTAAATAATTGAGAGAGCCGGTTTCACTTTTAGTTTGTAAACTTATTGAGAACACACATAATTTGTTAATACTTGAAGACGAACGGTTTTAGAAAAAATATCCAAAACTTTAAAAGGCATGGAACAACTACGAAATATACACATTTTTGTAACTGGTTTAGGTATGAGTATGATGGTTCGAAATGTGCCGCTTGCGCACCATTACTTTTGATCTGCTCCTAGGACATAATTTGTCCACTAACGAACTTACTTAATGAGATAAAAATGTTTTGTCAAAAGGACATACACCTCCATGACAACTATGGTTTGATACGGGCCCCAAGCAAACAGAAGACAGGAGATACTCTGAGCTCACCTCAGTGGTACAATATTGGCCAATCTCAGAGTTTCGTAGATGACGGCTTGCAAGTACTTCAGTTTGGGTTTGTCCTGTATCGTGGGAACGCGATGTGTTCCGATATGTTCGCAGATTTCTTTGTAAATCTGGGGTATTACAAGAAATTGTTTACCTTACAATGTTTTCTGGAGTCGGATGCAGTTTCTGAATTGTACACTCAGTATGACGCCTTAGAAAAAGAACATGTAAAAATAAGATACAAAAAGGGACTGAAAAACAAAAAAACATAAATGGAAAAGCATGATGGTTTTTTAAAACTTTGATTTAAAGGTTGAATGTCACTGAAACATTGCACATCCCAAACAGATTAACATTTTTAAAAAACTGGGTAAGAGGTGACGCGGTGTATGGAGAAGGAGAAGTTATATAAAAGTATCCACTTGAGTTATGATCAAGTACTCATATACTGGCGAGCAAAAGAAAGTGGGCAGTTTTCAAATTGGTGCTGTATGAGTAGTCTCACGAATTTTGACTTGGCGATTGACATGTTGAGCTTGAGTCACTTTAGAAAGTCGGTCAGAACAACATTTGTTTATTTTGTTGTTATAAAAAGTGTTTACTACACGTTTGGCCAAAAAACGTGTTTTCTCGTTTTTTCTTGAAAGTTTACAATGCCTTTACTTTTATTCTTTTTTCGTTTCACACTTCAACGTGTGTCGGCGAAAAGGCCGTAAAAACTTTTGAGTTTGTTCTTTTCAATTTTGTTTTATACCATGCCTCGTCTTTGTGAAGCGCAACTTCATGAAGCTCTTGGCACGCTAAGAGCTCATGCAACGGTTTCTGCTGTAGCTAGAGCTTTCAATGTGAAGAGAGATACTATCCAGAAGCTAAGGATACACTTACAAGCAAGTGGTTCGGTAAGTGACACTCCAAGGTCTGGTCGTCCTCGTATCTCTACTGTGGTAGAAGACAATCGGATCAGAGTTCCAGACTTGTAGGATTGGTTTCAAACAGCTTCAAAAACTGTCAGAGATTGGGCTGGGCATAAACCAATCAGCCGCTTCACCGTTTGTCGACGTTTGAAAGCCCACTGAATCGTTGCCCGACACCCACCTCGACGCACTCGTCTCCTCCAAAGACACCGTCATGCCAGACTCCACTGGATTCGTCTGCATCGGCGATGGCTAAACCGCCAGGGGAACAGAGTTATGTTTTCTGACGAGTCCAGATTTCTTTTGGATCACCACGATGGAAGGCAGAAT